GAGCCCCCAATGATGCAGAGTCATTCACTATCTGCCTTTCCATTGTCTACCTGCACGACAAAGAAAAGAAAGCAACTATAAGGAACAAATATCAGTACATCTAATAATTGTATCAGAAAAATGTACCCATAAATAATCTATTTGTGAACTTGTAGTATAAGATCACCAAGAATTGAGCACAATCGCAACAGTCATTGACATCAGAAGTCTTTCACGAAACTCTCGACCATAACCTTCAAATTATGATTATGATACAAATCATCCTCAGTAACAGGTTTTGATAATGTCACTGCTTAACTATAAAGTATAAACCTAGACGGTTTAATGGGTCCTCTTTTTAAATGACCTTCTAAGAGGTTTTCGTTATAAATCCATGACTTTCTAACAGGGTTTGAGAATGTCACTACTTAAGAGAAGAACGTCTCTCCCATTTAGAAAAATGCCTACAAACCTTTCAGAAAAGGATGTGGATTTAAAAAAACATTTGCCACGAGGAGGTTAGACCAATTGATATGAATATGTGCATAATATTGCTAAAGATTTGACATACCGTTGCTCCCATCATATACACATAATAAATAAACCTTGCAGGTTGGTCTTGAAGTCCAAGATTGTTGATGCTTGATTGTCTAAAGTCACCTGGTCCACACCGAAGTAATTCGTTTAGGGCCAAATTTGAATATGATATCTTCTAGTATCAGTTTGTTATTAAGAAAACTAAAGATTTCAAATTTTGGTTGGATACTTTGAACCTCAGCAGCTCAAATACTCTTGCACGACAAACTATTTTCAACAAAAGACTAAGGACATGCTTGTTAGCAACTTAATGAGCTTAATCGAACTCACAACTTCTTCGGTCAGCACATGACTGTTTGATAGTGGTTTAATGATATAAAAAGTAACTTATTCAATAAGAGGGGAGCTTTATGCAAAAAAACGCCAAATTTTTTCCAAACCTAGAATAGATTGAACAATTTACTAACCGGGTACTTCCCTTGTATAGGTAGGAATATGCCGACTTTGTCAAACCCATTTTCTCTAGAAACATGAGTAACAGTTGACTTGGACCAATTTACCAACATTAGTTTCTCAGGTATCTGCTTTTCATCAAACTATAACTTTTATCTTACATATTATTATTCACTTTAAAAAAGGTCCAGATTCTGTTATTATTACCAAAGGTAGTTTGTCAGGTATCTGCTTTTGATCAAACTAACTTTTGTCTTACAGATTATTATTCACTTTGGAAAAAACCAGATTCTCTTGTTGTAAATAGATAAAATAATCATTATATTTTTGGATTTTTTTAATTACTATAACCAAAATGTTTATTGATATTCCAATAAGATATCTATTACATCTTTTTTCTTCAATTTTGGTTTAATCATAGATAATTGAGACAAAATATAATATAAAATGACATCATAAAGTAAATATATAGCACAGTAAACTCCAAATTTGGTCCCTATAGTTTTTCAAAAGCAACAATTTTAGTCCTTGCAGTCTATAAACTATAAGATGGGGCCATCATACTTTGTAAAAATATCTGAATTTGGTCCCTTTCTATAATGGTCGTCCATTAAATGAGATGTATTTTCGTCCTTTTAGCGATTTTCTTTATCTTTTATAAAATCAAAATTGATTTTTTGATTTTGGTTCATGTGGTTTTGATTGGGTGAGAAAACAAAAAAAAAATAGATAAAAGGACGAAAATACTCCTTATTTAACGGGATTTTTTAATCACAGTTAATGGGAGGAACTAAATCTAGACGTTTTTTTTTTGTTGTAAACCACGACATTTATCTTGTAATTTTGTAACAGTAGGGATGAAAAATGTCATTTTTGATAAGCCTCAAGAACCAAATTTGTATTTTACAATTTACAATGTATAATTTTAATTTGTTATTGATGTTTTATGTTGGACAGTTAATTATAATTAAATATTAATATTGATATAATTGACTTGATTATGAATAT